AGATAAATGAGTCAGTAATTAAGTTCAGTCCTTTAATGTGCGCGTATCGTAACCGACCTGGTGGGGCAGCGCCCTGATGTGAAAATAAATATTTAATAGACACAACTCACTGCAGGCGTCGTGGGAAGCCCTACCTGAAATGCTCCCCGGGGACAGAACAAGCGGGTGGCCCTACGCCTAGCCGCGACGACAATCGCGTTGGGAGCAATCCCGCATCGGGAGGAGGGGGGAAACGAATGCAGACGGGAGGTGGGTGTGCCAGTGGGGCAGGGAGTTGGGAAGAGCCTGCGTGAATTGCTCCTCTAGCTACACGGGACAGGGGGCGGCGGGAGCGTTTAGAGGAAAAGCTGCCTCTATTAACCACGCAGTATAGCATAGCGCACGCGCGCAGGAGCCGACACACCCTGCTCAGAGGATTAAGGTCAGTGAGAGACCCACAGGAGAGGCGTTTTTGAATTTATCCGCATATCCAACCAGCGATGCTGTGACGGCGAGCGACAGAGAGAGAGAACAGAGATGGGGGGAGTTTGAATTAGCTTGAAACTTCCTTTAGGCTTACAAATTTCCTCTTTCCCATTAGCAGGTTATTCCCGACCCTCAGGAAGCTAAGAGGACATCTTGTCAATTTTATATACAATTAAAAGAAAAATGGAGATGGTATGAATTCCAGTTCGCAGCTCAGAAACGAAAGTGAGAAGAAGACAGAGGTGTCTTTTCGAGGATTTTATTTAATAATCAGGGCTCGACCCCGCGACCTATTAGTTAGAAGTTCGACGCCTCTAACCACTGAGCCACGGGCTCGTTGTCCTGTCGGTTTCCATCAGGAATGTCCAGTGGTAGAGGGGCGTTCACTGACAGTTTCTACGGAACTCACTAGCCCCGTTGTACCTTACGGGCTCTCTCTCGCGAGCCCAACCAGCAGTAGCACAACGGCGCAGAGCGTTATTACCGTCAACGTCACAACGGGACGAGGGAGTTTCGTAAGAACGATCGGGGAGCACTCGACTACCAGATTCTTCTGCACCCACAGGTCGGGTCTCCGTATCATAGTGGCAGTCTTTTCAGTTGTTGCCAGTAAGCGCTGACCCAGTTGCTAAGGGTGACCTTGTAAATCACACAGAGGGCTTCTTTGGGGCCCACACGATGCCCAGAATCAACCACGCGTGCAAGGATGGAGCCGTGTGTGCTCTTAATTTCACCTTTCCTCAGCTATGTCAGCAGGTGTTCTCGTATTATTTTGGATAGCACCAACCCCAGCGAAACCTTCCGTGGAGTTTACAAGGCCCCACCTAAGTACCCTATGCAGCTGGTTCAGCACTTACTAGCGACAGCTGAAACGGCTACAGAGACCCGCCCTGCGGACGCAAAGAAATCTTTTACAGGCTTCGTTTCTACCGTGCATGCATCCCTCCGCGCCCCTGTCCTCCCCTTCTTGTGTGGCACGACCCTACATAACACTCACTGCCACGTACTCTCTCCTCCTCCTTGCCCTATTCACACACCCTGCTTTTTATGGAAGGACGAACCGTAATCGATCTCTCTTATCGCTCGCAGGTTTCACTCTGTACCTCGTTCCCATATGAATGTGCCGACCTGATGAGAATTTATCGAAAGCACATGTATGCACGTCAAATGACCTTCTTGCCATAACATTTTGCCATTACAAAAACCCTATCCAG